ACCAGTTTTTATTTTTAAAAAGATTGTACGAAAATCCAATTTACCTCAATTGCTGAGTGTTTTGCACATCTCCATACATTTTTGGATCTCATCCTAGTTTTGAAGTGATAACCAGGTTTGTGGAGCATGGAGGCCCGGAGAGGCCAGTGCAGATGGGGGCAGATGAGAGATGAGAGGCACGTGTGAGAGGCAGCCAGATTGTCTGCTTGTGGTGGGAGGAGATGTACAGAGGCCTGCTGCTTGCTCCCGGCCCAGATTCTGAAGAGGGGGCATGAGGGGATACTGTCAGCAGCCCATCTGTGCCATGTGCCTGCTCACCAGGCTTGTGAGCCGAGCACCTACACTCCTCAGCCAGGCTGCTGAGGACCTATTATCTCAGGAGGAATGAGAGGTACCGTGTAATCTCATTTGGCTGCACTTTACTGGAGGCTGATGCAAGGTGGTCCCCAGGACCTTGCTTTGCTCATATTTGGTGCCTGCCCTGATCCATTTACCTCTATGACACTCTGAGGTCTGTTCTAGTGTGTGAGATTTGTGCAGAACTCACCACCATTGGCAGAGCCGATGCACTCCTATACATCTGCTTCTTAGTTGAGTGTCTTCAGTCTGCCCAGTAGCGTTGATATTGCTGACAGTTCAAACTTGGAGGACGTTCTGGTCAGGTGAGGGCGCTGGAGGTGATGACAGCACCTGGGATCTCCCCAAGTGGAAGACGATAGTAGGAAAAAGTCTACAGCCACCCTTAGCTGACTCTATGGTCTTTTCCAACGTGGAGGTCAGCTCACTCACCAGCCTAGCCTTCTGCTTGTCCACACCATCCCACTGTGTCCTCATCCTCTGAGCAGCCTTTCTGTCACTGTGCAGTGCTGGGAGCTATTGAAGCTGAAAATTGACCACACGTGCAGGGCTATGGCATGGCTGGGGCATAATTGTACCAAAAATAAAGAGCACCTGGGTCAGCCACTTGAAGAAGTTGCCACAGCCCAGAAAAACACCAAGCCCCTAGACAATCCAAGCAATGGGTTGCTAGGCAGCAGGGTTGAAATTGACATCCTCTTTCCCAGTATATAAATAAACATGGTTCAGTGGTTAAGTAGTACCTTTCCTCCCATCAGGAGGATAAGGGCTCCATCTGACTTTGTCTCTTCTTTATTTTCTCTTTCTCTCAAAGTCCTTCACCCCAAGAACCTCAGGAGCCACATGGGTCATGGCAGTGCAAAGCCTGTGAATGAAATCAACCTCGAGCTCGAAGCTGAGAAGTTATGAGGGTTTTTAGATACAGCCATGCTTGAAACCAGGACTTACAAATTATAAGTCATTAAATTATTTTTTGTCTTAAAATTTGAGTTGTTTTCTTTTTTTGTCACTTGCAATAGTAAGAGTGGGCCATGTTTAGTGGCATAATACAAGAGCTTACTTACCTATGAGGGACCCACTGAGAGAGGGGGTGTCAGCCTGACTGCTCAGCATGTGATCTTTGGGATATGGACATTAGCATCTCTTGAGAACTTGTTAGAAATGCAGAATCTCGGGGTTTTTTCCCATGTTTGCAGAATCAAAATATTTAATACATGTTAACAAGAGCCCAGTGATGAATGTACATATCAGAACTTGAGACATGCTATGGTCTAGGTACGGTTCAAATGTCCCCAAAATATGAATGTGCTAGAAGTTTGCTCCTCAGCATGTCAGTGTTAAGGGAGTGGAAGCTCTAAGAAGTGGGGCCCACTGGCATGTGATTAGGAAACTGATGCCACTGCCCTTGAAAGGGGATCATGTAGTTCTCTTAGGAATCTAATTAGTTCCTGCAGAAGCAGGTTATTCTGAATAGAACAAGCTTGGCCCTTGAATCTGCCTGGCTTACTGTCCCACCATGTGATTGCTCTTGCACATGTTTCAGTCACTGTGATCTCATCTGCTGCGAGGCCCTCGCCAGAGGCTGGGCCAATAGAGCTGCCTATCTTGGACTTTTAGCCTCTGAAACTGTAAGATATACCAACCACTTTTCTTTACAAAATGCCTAGCCTCATGTAATTTGTTACAGCAATAAAAAAATGGACTAAAGGGGCAGGGGATTTAGCTCAGTGGCATAAGCACCTGCCTGGCAAGAGTGCAGTTGTGAGTTCAATCCTTGGTACAAAAAAAAAAAAAAAAAAAAAGGACTAATATAGGAAGCATTTATGTCAAGAACCAGGACAAGTCTCTCTAGTTTCCTGGTTCTTTCTTTGTGATTAAATACAGTTTAGAAGTTAACTGGAGTTTCAGAGCAGGGGTCAAATCATGGCTTTAGATATGTACAAGTTCAAGAAAGAAGAACCTGTGTATTTTGGATATCTCTGAAACTCAGTTTTCTCTTCTGGAGAATGGGAGTAATGACAGTACCAAACTGTCAGGACTTTTGAAAAGATTCAGTGCACTGTATTTTACTCATGAAAATTTCCTGGCACACTTTCAGGCATAAAGGAAGAACTCAAAATGTGTCAACTATGATTATTTCACAACTCTGCAGTGGGGTTGCTTTATGTTCAACCCTCCTAATAACTTCTGATAGAACATGGGAAAACTTTTTGGGATATGTAAATTGATGAAAAAGGGGTGGTTTTTCTAGATCTTAAAGTCATTCACAAGGGTTGTTTCGGCTGTATGTGGTTAGGAGTTGGTTGCCTTTGAATGAGGATAGTTGGAGAGGAGAGAAGAGGCCATTAGGAGAGCACAGGGCTCTGAGCTGAGAGGCAGAAGGGTCTCTGTCTTCTGGGGGATGACTGAACCGTAGCTTCTGGGCAGGAGTCCTGGTTGAGGACAGAGCTCAGAGAGCTCTGGGTGGTGGGCAACGATTTGGACTTTCACCACCAGGCAATGGGAATGAAACTAATCCCAATGCAATCCAAGCAACACCTTCCTCCTTACGGTCCAGTGACCTGCGGGAGTAGCAATGTGTTTCTCTCTAAAGAAATGGCTTCACATGTTGCAGAAACTTCCCAAGAGACCCAGCTTGGCCTGACGACTTGAATAGCCCAACCTATAGGGAACACAGGGTATATTTAGCCAGAAGCCAGAGAAGGCCAGGAAGGAGGAAAGACCTGCTGCGGGGTGACTCAGCTTCTGCAGAGAAACATCAATCTGCAGGAGGCACGGTACCCAGCGCTGGCATGCTGTGGTCGATTCTACATGCAGTTATGAGCTGAGTCTTGGCCTAACTGAGACAGAGGGCTGGGAGTGCGGTAGGAAGGGATCCTACAGGGTGCTGCTAAGGCCCCAGAATGAACTCTACCATGTAATTCTGGAGAAGACGCAGGGACCTTTAGTGGCTCGGTGTGTAACTACAGTCCAGAGATCCACCCCCAGGGAAATACTGAGCCTGGCTTTTGAGATTTATAGGAGTGGGGAAGTGGGAAGTGACAAAAGCATATTAAATGCCATTAATACTCCAGTTAGTCTCTGAAAGCTGGTAGTGGACACACGTAACTCTCCACTCTAGCGGTAGGTACAGGGAGGCATTGCAATGGGATGAAGAATGTGGGCTAGAAGTCAGGAAAAACGGTTCAGAACCCTTTTCTGCTGTTTAGTACTTGTTTTCTAAATCCTGGACCAAGCTCTTCATGATTTTCTTATAAGAGTGATGGTGACAAAGGACAAAGTATTGTGTTTCAGCAGCGTAAGAAGCTGGTAAATACTACCAATTATTTATCTATTATCTATTATCTACTGGAATCACAAGATTGGAATGCAAGTTTTCTTGGGTACTTTTCTCTCGTTGCTGACCCAAAATACCTGACACCCAACATGAAGGAAGGAAAGGTTTATTTAGCTCACTGTTTGTGAAGGTTTAAGTCCCTAACCAGCTGGCTCCAAGGCAGGGCGGCATGACACTGGGGCAACACGTCAAGGCAGCAGCCAGAGCAAAAAAAGGAAAGAAAACCCACAAGCGTCTTCTCCTCCCTTATATTATATGCAGTCCCCACCCCCGGGCAAGTGTAGCACTCACAAAGTCCCCTTGCCCTCCTTTGCACCAGATGAGGATACTTACAAAGAAGCCTGGCTCCCTGCTGAGTCTCTCAGTTAAACTTCTAAACTGCTCAGGTTGACACAATGTATCAACCATAACACAGATAAATAAATACAAGATGAGACCCTGCTAGATTCAGCACAGGCTTTTCTGAGGAAAGAAATTTCAGTTGTGATAAGGGAAAGGCAGCTCCATGGTTTTTTGGGAGTAGGGGATTCACCATAGTTGGACTAGTGCGGCCACTAGTTTCTTCAGATGCGGCCACCAAGGTGGGGCTGAGGAGAGCTTGTGGAGAGGGTGATGCTATGGAGACTGCCTGTGTGTAGCTTCTACCTGCCTGAGCTCACAGCTGTATTTTATCTCTTTGTCTGGCAGCAGATCTGACCACAATGATATTTCAAGAACCATGATTACCCCTTCACTTTCTATCTCCCAAATTGTGCACAAGTTCCCACTTTGGCCAGTTCTATCTCAGAACCATGCAAAAGGGGGATTCTGAAAGCTGTCATTAACGCTCACCCAAATTGACAGCATAATTGTCACAATTCTGGTTCATTTCTACCTAAGACAGAGGGAGAGAAGCAAGTTTGGGATGGGAAAAACTGGGAGTTCTGTTACAGACATGTTTCATTTGAAGTGCTCGTTTAAGAGGGACCCCGGTGATTTCCACAACCTGGCATTCATGTCCTGAGTGGTTACTTTCCCTGAAATGGTGGGCTGGATTTGGCAACTCACTTCTAGCTAGTAGACTTCATCAGAGGTGATGAAATGCCACTTCTGAGATTTGGTTACAAAAAGGCCATGGCTTCTTTCTTGAGTACTCTCTTGTTCTGTTATTCTTTTGATCTGAAGCAAGCCAGTTTCCCTTTAGTTGGCTAAATATTGAGAGACCCAGTGACCACCAGTGAGGAACTGGGACCCTCTGCCAAGGAGCTGCCAGGAACCAAGTCCTGCCAACACAACATGATAAGTTTAGAATTCTCCCTCATTCCAGCTCCAGCTGAGATCACAGCCCCGGCTGAGAGCTTGACACACCTGTGTGAGAGGACCTGACCCCACAGCACACAGGTAAGTGCATTCCAATTCTTGACTCATAGAAAATGTGAGATAATCCATGTTTATTGCTTTGCATGGCTAACTTTGGGAAGTCATGTATTATGCTGTGGATGACAAGTAACACAGATATTCAAGTGAGTATTCACTCGCTTGAAATTTAAAGGAGAGGTCAAAGATGGGGATATGTGTGTAGGAACCATTAGTATTTAGATTGGATGGCATCTAAAGTCATGGGAATGGATAAGATTATTAAAGGAGAATCAGTTACCAAGGAAGAGTGGAGGCTTAAGGATTGGGCCTTGGGTCAAGATTGGCCAAAGGAGAGAGATTCAGCAAAGAAAACAGACATGGCACGACTGAGGAAGAAGGAGGGGAAGCTCCGTCAGTTACGGCTAAGATGGAGAAGTGCCCTTGGGTTTGACCACATGGAATCTGCTGGCCTCCCGGACCAGAGTGCAGGCCCAGCTGGCCAGGAAAGTGGGGAGTGCTGAGAAGGCTGCGTTCCTGACTGTGGGAAACGGTGTGTTCCCAAAGAAACAGGGATGTTCCCATTCAACTCCAGCATAACTGTTCTTTTCTTGTGGCCATTGACTTTGGGAGATGGGAAGCAGAAGAAGACAGAGGTTGAGGCCAGAGGAAAGCGGCTTTGGGAAACAGGGCACAGCAGGAGCAAGCTTCATGGCAGAAGCAGGAAGCTTACGTAGAAGAGTTTAAAATTTGGGTTAATTGGTTAAGGTGGTTTCTTTGTATGACCGGGCTAGAACTCTACTATTAGTCATGCAACAAACACTCTGCAAGACAGTGACGCTTTGTCAGCAGAGCTAACATCCTTCCAAAGTGAGAGGATCTATGGCCTTAGGGAGACAGATGTTTTGATAAGCATTGTAGGACCTAGTGAATACTGCATGGGTAACAGAACTTCCTCCTGTGAGAGCCCAGGGAAGAGTGAATGAAGACTGGTTGGAGGAGGTGGGCTTGGGGCAGAACTCAGAGGCTGAGTGGCTGGCCCTAAGCTGGTCCCCGCTGCCCTTCCCTTGACCCTACCTGTTCTCTTTCCTTTTCTAACTCTCCCCATCCTCCCTCTGCCCTTCTCCTCTAGCTTGCTTCTCTGCTCTGCCCTTCTACCCTCCCCCTCCTGCACTCCCTCCTCTGCTCCTCTCTCCCCTCACCTCCTTTTCCTCTCCTCCTTCCCTGGACCATGATGAAAGGCCTCCTTCCTGGCTGATGAATTATGCATGCCCTTCAGCGGTGCGCCTGGCATCCAATTAGGGCCTCGGCCAGGTTGATAACACAGACAGATTAAAATGTAATTCATTGGGTTTGACATTTAAGGCCCAGTGTGAATAGCACAGAAGAGAAGCCTTGCTCTCCAGACTTTGTGTGTGTTTTTGTGGAGGGTCCTCAGTTACCTGCATGCCTCCCTCATGTCAGTTTAGAGTAGTCAACCCGGCTTGGTTGCACAGTGGGGCTGGGGGAAGGCCCGAGGCAAGCACTGAGCCAAAGTAGGCTTATTTCTTTAAACTTTTTATTTGGAAATAATTTGAGATTTATACTAGAGGAACAATGATAGTACAGAGAGTTCCCATATACCCTTCACTGAGCTTTCTCTAATGTTAACGTCTTATGTAAGCACGGTACAATGATCAAAGCAAAGAAATTAACATTGGTACAATCCCATTAACTAAACTACTGATGTTTTTTCCGAGTTCACCCAGTTTTCCACTAATGTCCTTTTCCTGTTCCAGGATCCCGGCCAGGATCTCCCATTCCAAAGCAACCTTTTGTGAACATGCTTCCCCAGAGACTGCAATTTCCTCTGTGGCCCAGCCAGTGGTTCTCAAATTTTAGAGTCCAAGAATTACCACAGATTTTCTTAAAAGGGCACATCCTTCCCTAGACATTCAGCAAGTCTTGGGTAGAACCCAGACATCTATATTTTTAACAAGCACCCCAGTCAACAGAGAACTGCCGGGGCTGATTAGGGCTTCAAGTGAGATCTCACTGTTTCTTCATTCTTCCACAAGTCGGTTGTTAGCTGGGAGATTTAACTCAGGGCTTGATATAGCTTTGAGACAGGCAGGGTTTCCCCACCTGTCACCTACTGCCAGAGCCTGGCTGGCGGGAGTGCAGCTACCATGCACATCTCTCCTCATCACTGCTCACCTGGTTAGTAGCTAACCAGAGGAAAAATCCTAGGAAAGCCTTATTTGCAGAGAAAAAGAGATGACTCTTACCTACCAGTCTCAGCTATATCCATATTATCATTTAACTCACTGAGTAACATTCTTTTCTGCAAGGAAACATTATTTTCTCCAGTTTATAGATGAAGACTTGGAACAGAAATGATGTGAAATATAGGGTTGTCAGATTTAGCAAATAAAAATATAGAAGGCTCAGTTACAATTCAACTTCAGAGAATGCAGTACTGGGGACATGCTTCTATTTTAAAATATTGTTATTCGTTGGAAATTCACACTTAACTGGGCCTGCTGTGCTTTCTCCTGCAGTCCTAATTAAGTGGTGGCCTATAGTGCACAGCCAGTAAGCAGGCCTGGACATGGATCTGACTCTGCTGTCTGTCCCAAGGGGCACCCTGCACTTGCGTATCCAATGTCTGCCTCACCTGGGGTGTCACAGAGAACAGGAGGGGCCATGTGCGTTTATCCCCTACCGTGTCCGGCTCTGTACCACAATATGGTAGCAGTTACTTAATAAATATTTATTGAATTTGCATGACTTAGTGGACTCACTACTATCTTTGTAGCAGGGAAGGGCACAGAGGATGGAGATTAAACTGAGAAGCTGAGCTGGTGAGGGGGTGGGTATTTAACTTGTTGATGGGAAGTCAAGTGAGGTTAAGAGGTCTGAGGCCTGGCCCACACCCGGCCACCTCAGCTTTTACACCTTGAATAAAGGCAAAGAGCCAATTCTTCTTATAGTCATCTCTCAGGCCCTCTGTGTTCTCAGTTGTGAAATGGGATCATATCTCTTCCAGCTCTAGGTTTCTGTGCTTCTCCGACTTTTCCTTTTTAACCCTACCTTTTTGAATAGTAAAAAATACGGCAAAATGAGAAGGTTTGCTGCTGGCTACTTGATATTTCTTCCCCCATGGCTATTTGTTTTCTCTACTTTTCCCTTTATTTCTTCCTCCATTAAAATGTCCTGAGCTTCCCTTTGGTGTATGGCCTTTTGTTAGTTTTCCTTAACTGTTCCTTTCTACCTCATCAGATGCAATCAGAAGCCCAGAGAGACCCGGCACGGCACTGTTCCTTGCAGACAAGGGAGGACGTTGGGAGTGCATTGTGTCTTTTAAAATAGACCTGTTGTCGTCGGAATGTATTTTTAGCTGTGGGAGAGATTGGCATGCTCTCAGTGCCACCATCTGCCAAAGGCAGTTGCTAGGCAACTGACACTGACGAAAGCAAGGGGATGGCTTCACTGAGGATCTGGGGACTCTGGTGGCCCAATCCCTCTCCACCATCTAGTTCTTGCATGACAACAGCCAAGCCCAAGAGAATAAATGTTCCTCTCTTTCTGGGAGAGGCCAGGGAGTTGATTCCAGGTCTGTGAGCTAAGCACAGAGAGGACCTCAGAGATAACAAGGGATAGTGTGCCATCACTGTTCTCTCGATTGGTAGATTTTTTTAAATTTAGAAACTTTGGATGATATTTGGTTTAAGTTTGGGGTTTAGATTCAAAGAGCCCCAATAATATGCATCCCTCTCCTGCACCCCTATAGCACCTGGGCAGGAGCTGTTTGGAAGTAGTCAGCTCAGAGGAGGTTTCATGGATGAAGCACCAGAGAAGTGGCCAAGATTCCTGGACTCCATTCCATTCCAGTCATTTGCTGTCTGTGTGGATTGTCCCTGCCCTTCCCTGGCCTCCACTTTTGGCATGTTCAAAGTTAGTATATTGAACCAGATAAAATACATTTACAAGGGTGTGTTAGTTTTCCATACCTGTGACCTAATAGCTGAAAAAAATCAACTTAGAGAATTTATTGACTCATGTTTCAGAAGTTTAAGAATAAGGTCATTTGACCTTGTCTTTTTTGGGCCTGTGCTGAAGCTGGTAGAGGGGTGTGGTAGTGCACTCTCACCTTATAGTAGCAAGGGGGTGAGGAGAGAGAGAGAGAGAGAGAGAGAGAGAGAGAGAGAGAGAGAGAGAGAGATGCCAGAAGGTTCTGGAGATGAGATATAGTCCCTGAGGGGGTGCTTCCATGACCAACTTCCTGTTTACTTCACCTCCCAACAATGCCATCAAATTATTATGAATCCATCAATGGATTAATCCACAGATAAGCTAGAGTTCTTATGATCCAATTATTTTCCAAGATCCTTACCTCTGAGCATTGTTCTACAGGAGACCAAGCCCTCATCACATGAGCCTTTTGAGGGAAGCATTAGATCCAAGCCATAGCAAGGGTTAAAAGGCAGAAGAATCACAGAATAGAAAAATCCATGAGCCAGGTTTGGGTTTTGATCATGATTTTGCCTCTTAATGTTCATAATGAACTTCTTGATGACATAGTTCCTTTATCTGTAGAACTAAGTAAGGATAGTACTAAACGCTCTCATTATGATGTGAAAATTAAACAAAGCAACCTCTGGAAGAGGTGCACCTTTACCTTAATGCACAGAAAATAGGTATTATTCAAGTTCCATAGCAGAGATGGTGCAATGTCCACCACAATCATCTCTCCTTGTCCTTACTCATAGTTTTGAATCTTGGCACATCTACAGTTTCTCATGCAGTCAAATTCTCACTAAAGACACATGAAGAGAAGGGACAGTGCACCTTCTGCATTATTTAGTGACAGAGAAGTCACCTCCCTGGATGTTTGCTCTGTTTTCCTTCCTATAAGGCAGTGGGGCATAGATATGCATGGAACACTCAGGGTAACATGTCCAACAGTCTCTGGAAGTCAGGATGGGGATCTATTAGAGATATCTAGTCCAGTCTTCTCATTTTCAGGATGGTGACATGAAGCCCAGAAAAGGGAATAGACTTGCTTAAGATTTGCAGAGGTGACAGAATCCAGATTCCTTGATTTCTCTATAAGTCCAACACCATCAACATATAGGTAGATGGAGCCACAAGCCTCAGATCTACTGTCATCCACCTTGGGCCACTGCTCCATCTTTTGGACACTTTTATTTGCTAGAACAGAACTCAAAAGATGATTAAATCAGGTTCTCTACCTCCAGTGTGGCACATTTTCAACCTTGGCTATCAGACACATTTCCCTTCCCCTAAAATAACCGTAAGTTCTTTCTACCACCTGTGTGTTCCAACTATTGGTCTACAGTTCTTCCTAGTGGGTGTCCAGTTGCAGTGTTTCCTGCTTTGCTTTTGTTTTACTTTAATTTACTTCAGGAACAAGTTGGTCATACTGATGAATGTGCAAAATGGGTTGAAATTAGTAAATCTTTCATCCTCATTTGTTACTCTATTTCAGTCAAAAAGGGGATAAAGGGAAGACTCGACCTTCACCACTTTTTCTTCTACCCCCAGTTTCTGTGGCAGAATGAAGACAAGTAAAGAAGAATGAGACAGTTCACCCAGGCTTCTGGCTTCCTAGCCATCTCCAACTTGGAGGAAGGCCCGAGGACAGTTTCTTTCAGAAGCAATGGGGATATACAGCTTTGATTCAATCCCAGGCAAAAGAAATTGCCTTTATTGGCTTGTCACAGCCGCATCTTTCCACTCCTCACATCAACACAGGTGGAGTCTTTGTTCCCTGTTCTAGATCCTCTTTGTGTGCCATTTTATTTGGGAAAATACAAGCAGCTTTCCTTATTCTTTATGGGGAATTTGTGTCTGAAATGGAGAGAAGAGAGAGAAGAGGAAGATGTGGCCTCAGCTCCCAAGAGAGAAGGAGACACCCTGTGGAGGTGGTACAAAGTGAATGAGCCTGGTAGCATGGAGTAGAGAGGTCTTCACACAGCAGCTCATCTATCTGAGGGGAACCAGATCAAGCCAAGGTGCTTATGGCTGATTCAAGGCCAGGGAGGGACTGAGCCACAACAGGGTTGAGACATGGGTGGGAAGAGTCAGGGCTCACCATGATGAAGGCCAAAGGAAGGGTGGCCTCAGTGAGGACTATAGTCATTAGAGGGCATGCTATGAAAGAAGAAATCTCCAGTAGGATGCTGAGGAGTAGCATTGACAGGTTAAGCAGAGCAGAATAGAAGTTGCTGTGTTCAACAAGTCTGTGAAGAAAGCACAGAGGGTCAGACCCATTCCAGGAGTATAAGCATGAGGCTAGGAGAGGAACAAACTGAAGAAGAATCAATCAGAGCAAAGAAGGGAAGAGATAATTAAGCAATGCCAAGCCCAGGCTAGTGGTCAGTAAGTAACTGCCAGACTCTGATTGGCTAGCAAGGCTGATGGGAAAGTGAACACTCTATTTAATTTTTCATGAGTTGTTTGAGAAGTGTTATGGGCATGGATGGAGGGATCCAGTGACTGGAGCAGAAAATGGAAGATTGCCAGTTTCTTGTGGAGTAGGTCATTCTTAGGAACTTCTTCACAAATGCCACAAACCCCTTAGCAGGCATATTAGGAAACAATGCCAGGTACTTGGTGGTACAGGACTTTTCTTATCAAGTTGAGCTCATGTTTCCCCATCCTGCTCAAGGGAAGCCCTGGGATGAGTATGCTGACTTTACCACATGTTGAGGGGTTCATCTGGTAGCAAGGCAGATGAAAGCACTGTGTGTTGAGTCCAAAGCTCTTTATTTGCACGAGCTCTGTTCTGAAATAGAATCCCTTAATATTCATGGGATGAAATTCTCTAGTCCCACAGTGTTTGAAGTTCCTAGGAACTTGGCTTTGGCATGAAGTCCTATCTTCATTTCTCCTTACTGTCTCATCATCACCATCACCATTACCAAAGAATGAGAACATTAATTAGCTCTTATGGAGCACCTATATGTGCCAGGAGCTCTTCCAAGCACTAAGTGGATAGCAATCTGTAATTCTTATACCAGTATATCGGTAAGGAGTATCATTCTTTCTATTTCATGAGAAAGGACACTGAGACACCATGAAACTAACTTGCCAGAATCTCTCAGTCAGTACGTGGCAGGACAGGGGATGCTCCTGGCACAGAACTCCGTGCTCAGCCTCCACCATGCTTCCACATGCCCTACAGCCTTATCCAAGCTGCTTTCCTTGTCGATTGTCCCCACCCCATAACTTCTTGTCCACCTAATGAACAATCTAGAAGTCTTCATTCACAAGACCTAGCTTAAAGTCCCCACTTTTGGATCTAGTTCACCTAGGGAGTAATTTTCTTTGGGCTCTTCCAGCACACTCTGATCATGGTTCCCTGCAATACTGCCACACTGTTGATTTTCATTCATGAGCCTGTGACCCCCCTCAAAGGAAGAAATCTATCTTTTCCTATTTTTTTGCATTTTTGAAATAAATATTTAATTGACATAGAACACTTTCAACTTCAAGCCTTTCTTTGGTCCCTTTTCAAGATCCACAGTGGAGTGAGGATGCAGTAAATATTCATTGACTGGAGATATCTTCCTGCCCCCACTTGGCTCCCTCACTGACCATTCTGTTCCTGACTCTTCAGTATGTGGGAGAATCCAGACATCTTGTACAGCTGCAGCTCTGTGTGGTCCGTTTTGGCTGGAATTCAGGGAATAATTACAGACAAATGAGTATTATTATAACCCACATCAATGTCCCTCTCCTCAGATGCTCTCACCAGGAAACAGAGACACAGAGATGATCTCAGTATGATGCTGTCTTGCTTAAGCCCAAGGGTCTTCCCAATGACCAGGGACACCAGCACTGACCAGCCATAACAGTCTTCAGAAGGTGCTGCCTATACAGTCTGAGACTGCAGGTCTCTGGAGGCAAGCATGCCTGAATTCAAATTTTGTCTGTGGCTTTCTTTCTCTACAAACTTAGGGAAAAGTCTTAAGTGCTCTGAGTCTTGATGTTCTCACAGATAATGCTGGGACATAATACTTCTGGGAGTGTTGCAATGATTTGATGAGATAGTGAGTTTATAGCCTTTAAAAGAGTTCCTTGGTGATTGATAAAAAGTAACTTCCTTTTCCTTCCATCCATCAGCTAATCATGCCGTTCTTTGTTCTCTACTGGGGGTATTGTTTTGTAATCAAGAAGACTTTGCATCAACATCTAAATACTATGTCTTAATCTTGTTGCATTCCAGGTCTTGTAGATCATAGAGAAGCCAGTATAAGGAAGCCTTCCTGGAGCAGTTGGGGCTTGCTCTGGGCTTTGGAGAATTAGGCTGAATACCATTTTCAGATCTTCTGTGGGGTACTAGGGTGTCCTGTAGAAAAAGAGAAGAGAAATAAGTATCAGAAGTCCTCCAGTTATCTTATTTTATGACACTGCCCTGGCGAGTATCTGTGATTAGTCTGCAGGGGGATTTGTCTGTATGACAGACCTGGATGTGGGACTTGGGAAATATCATAGATGTGGAAGGCAGGAATATCCTGCTCTAAGAAATTTGGGGAGAAAAGTTTTTTGTTGAACTGTGGCACATTTAGCAACCTATACTGAAAGAATGCTTATCAAACTGGAGGCTCAAGTGGCCAGGTGTCTGTTTGCATGGATAGAGTACATTTGTATTATTTTTCAATCAATTCAACCCAGTTGAATAAAGTGTTCTAGTACTCTCTTTGCATGAGATATAGCACTAGGAGTTGGGGACCTGGAGAAGAACAAGACAAGTTGGCACTCTTGTGCTACTCAATGTCTTCCAGAGTGATGCATGTGTTGGGGGTCTGGATTAGACACATGGGGTGCTGATCCTACCTGGAGTAAGGAAGTCTGAACTGAAGAAGAAGAGCTCTTTGCTCCCTGGCAAAGAACAAGAACAAGAACAAGAACAAGAGCTTCTATGGTCATTATGCTTGCCAGGTGAGTGTTTTTATCTCAAAAACCAGGAAATAGTGCAATACCAGTTGGACAAACCTGGGTTTAATCCTAGGCATTATGGTAGGTTAGTCACTGAATTTATCTGAGCTTCAGTCTTTGGTATAATGAGAATACTGAGTAACACTCTTACTTGAAAAGGTCTAACTTGCCTCGCTGTTCAGCTTAAAAGCACTCATAAAAGCAGAAATAAGATTGGAACTCTTATCTTTTGGCCCTAAATCACCATATGTTGCAAGTTTCTGTATTTCTCTCTTTGATTAGCTAGCTTATTAATTAAACTAATATTCATTGAAGCCTTTTCTGATTCTTTTCACTGAGCTAAACATGTTGGTCTGTAAGCTCATATGATATCCCCTTGGTACCCACAGGCAAGAGTTGGCAGCACGTGGACACCTGCAGATACAGGCACTTACACTTTCACACAAGGGAGTATCCTGCTTTGGACTAACTGAAAGCAGCACCTTTCAGCATAGAAGCCGTGTCCTTGCTTTCTTGGCGTTCCTTTAAATAGAACTGTTCCAAGGCTCTGTGGCCAAAAGGGTCTCTCCCAGTTGAGATGGATGAATGAATAATTGTAAAATGATCTTTTCCTAGGCTGGTCCTTTGTCAGAATTGCTAAGGAAGCAGGTTTTCTTATTGCTTCCACTTATATATCTTTCTTTCTTCTCTCCTCTCCCATTTTCCCTCTGGTCTCTAGTACATTCATGTTGGTATGGATTCTTCTGGACCAGTAAAGTCATCTTTTCCTTCAAGTATCTTAAGCTCTATGATCCATACCCTTCTCCTGGGTATCTATGTGTACAGGAGTCACCAATGTTAGCATTTCAGGCAATAAGTGGAAGATGAAAATTTAAGATGTTGCCATCCATGTCTTCCAATAAATCAAAGGGTATAAGGTATACCTGACAGGGACAATACTTTTGTATCTTTCAAATTGCCTTCAAGTTTCTCTAGGCCCAGGACTTTGAAAGCTGGAGAAGATATTTTGAATAATCTTATTCAATTGTGAAGCTCTTCTTGGAAGAGCTTGAATAAACAATGATTTTCACATTGTTGGTCAGATTCATGAGCCAGTTTTCTATCATTATAACAAAATAGGGTACTTAAGATAATCAAGGTATCTGAGATAAAAGATTTATTTTGGCTCATCGCTTTGGAGATTCCAGCACACAATTAATTGGTCTTGTTGCCTTTGGGACTTTGGCAAGGCAGCACATCATAGTGCGAATGTGTAGTGGACCAAAATATAGTGGGAATGTGTGGTGGAGCCAGAGAGCAAAGAGCGAAGGAGAGAGATGCTCCAGTCCCACAAACCTCTCGGGAGAATACCCTAGTGATCTAAGGACCTCCTACGAGGCCACAGTCCTCAAAAGTTTTACCACCTCCTAATAACATCACCCTAGCAACATGACCTTTGCTCAAGTGTTTGACACATGAACCTTTGGGGGTCATTTGATATCCAAATGATAGCACTGGAACTGGGAAAAGGGTCCAGTCTTCTCTGTCATACCCTCCTGTGCCTCCCACAGGTCAGTTCTTATGAGGTCAGTTCTGAGGGTCAGGAAGTAGCACACAGTGAAGACGTCACACCATTCCCTTCCACCTGAAGATGGAGGCAGCCTTCCTGGGGGCTTGACTGATCTGGACAGAGAGCAGCATAAGAAAAATTTCTACTGTTTATTCCATGCTCCACTGATCATGGCCTCCCAACACTGCACTCACTGTTAGAGAGTAGATGTTCACATTTTTCATTCCCTGCCTTTGTGTGCCATGTGATGATGTTTCTGCTTCATTCTAAATGGAACAGAAAGCATGGAAAATCTTCCGTGGCTTTTGGCAGGCAAAGGATCAAAGCCGTGCTCAACAGCCACAAGCACCGTCAAAAAGGCTCAGATCAAAAGGGAAGAGTTTTATTTGAGGGTGAATTCTCCTGTTCCTTATCACAGCCCTCTGTCATCCCCTGTGTAAAGGAACAAGGATGAAGAATTTTGGTTGTGGCTGACTGCCACATGCTGACAAGACAGATGGTATCACAACAGCTGGACTCTTAATTGTCAGCCTTGAAATTAAAATAAAATCCATTGATATTTAAGAGAAAAAACCCATACTTTTAGAGAGGTGTGATTAGAAAAAGAAAACATTTGCAAGAGCTCTTATGTTGGCCTAAATCCTTCCTGAAACAAGGGAGGTGTAAATGTTGCCATGGAAACCACCAGAGGGAGGCCCAAGCCACAGGTGATACCACTGCTGCTGGACCCACCTTGATGAATGGGAGATCTGGAGACACCACAGCTGAGGCCCACGAACATTTCATAAGAGAATATCCTCCTCCTTGAGGATGACGAATCTGCTTCCCAAACTGTCTGATGGGTTGGCTTTGTGTATTTTTATCTGTGGAGATTTACTTTAGTTTTATGGTGAAGTTTTAAAAACAAAACAAGCTTTTTACAGTATATGCACAGAGGATTTGCTTGTTGGCTATATTCTCCTTCCTCTCTGGGAAAGGACCCCAACCTTGGGGACATAGGGATGTGAGACCTCCTGACTCAGACAAAGGCTTCCCCTCTTCTTGCCTGAGTTTTCCCATTTTGCAACAAGAATGTGAGACTGAGTACTTCTAATGTGTAGTTTTAGTGTTTAAACTCTTGGGCAAAGAACTGGAGTCTTGGCGGTGAAACAAATATGTTCAAGTTAAATGTAGGCTGACAGGTGAACTGACTTCTGGCTGCAGAGTGAGTGCAAGCCTGCTTTTTGATACTCACTCCAAATCTTTCCACTGTGCTTCTTCATGTTTCCTGGATGATCGTCAAGGTCGTGTCCAGCTCTGGCAAGCAGTTTGCAGTGGGTTGTGGGTCCTCAGCCCTTTGAAGTGGCTACTGCATCACAATTTCATTTTTCCTGGGAGACAAGTTCCCCTGATCACTGGCAGGCTCCTACATGGGCTTTCTTATGGAATGGCACTTGGTTAATTTTCTCAGAGTAAAAAGCTCCTTGTCCATGTGAGGCAAAGCTATTATTCTTTGAGAAGAAAGCCTTGTCATTTCAGCACGCCGCTCCTGTGCCTTTTCCTCTAGTCAACGTGAGCGGGTATTAATCTCATTTAATTCTCTGCAGCTGGCCTTGCTTTGCATGGTGTTTGGGGATAAGTTTCTTTTGTCTCCCCCTTGCTTTCCAACTTCTTTTTTAAAAAAAAGCAAACAGATTTTATTTTGAGTTTTTGATGACCATTATTCTAAGTTTTTGGTTAGAAACTTTCTCCAAAACTTCTCCTGGGGTATGGCATTAGAGCAGCAAACAGGAAAGAAGCCATTTCTCCTGACTGAGAATAAACCTGTGATGGAAGCCAGGCTTCTGTATCATCAGGGAGGGTTCATAGTGAAGAAGGGGCCTGCGTTTGAGTCTAGAACTACACTCAGACTGTGCAATCCTGGGAATCCCCTTAGTCTCTCTGGGTCACACTTCCATTTGTGCGGGGAGAGGTTTGGGTTGGATTAAAAATTTGCAATTATAAAATATTTTGGAAACTTCTCTTTGATTGTGATCTACTGAAACACAGAATAAAATGTAGGAAATACTGTTTCAGTAGATAAAAAATAGGCAATATTATGCATCTCAGAGCTTCTCAGCCTTAGAACTATGAGAACTTTGGGCCAGGTAATTGTGGGAGGCTATGCTCCAGGATGACCAGCAACATCCCTGGATTATATCCAATAGATGATCCTGATTGGGAGGACTCAAAATTTGAGACATTACCAAATGTTCTCCTCAGTGGTAGGGGAATCACCTCTGTGAAGAACCATTGCCCTAACCTATCAAACTAGTACAATTTATGAGAAGAGATGGAAGGAATGTCACTTAGATTCGTCCTCTATGGCTGCCAAGGCTTTTCTGACAAACCAGTGTTTCAGGATACATAGCTTTAAAATAGACAGATCCCGAGTCCTGATATCTCTGTGCTTGAAATTCCTGTGTAGATCCAACATCTTCTTTCTAGGCTGGATTTTAATTTAGGGGCTATGGAAGGAATCTAAACAACTTCATCAGTATCCCTAACTCTCAGGGAGGAAGGGTGTGCAGGAGTACAGCCTGCCTTTGGTAGCCAATCTGATTTGGAAATCTGCTGAGAAGCCTTCCATCACAATGGCAATGAGAGAACATGGTCTTGACTCCTATATTTACTCTAAAAGTGATCTGGCCATTCTGTGGCACGAAACTGAGCTACCCTCTTCCTTTCTGGATAGGCACAGCCACTCTGACTCTTGGAGGTGCTGGTACTGGGACCCAGGACAGGTGATTTAGGCAAAGGATCTCTTGAAATGTCCTCCTAGCCAGTGCAGTGCTTTACTCGAGTGTGGCAGTAAACAAATCTGAGATAGGTAAGGATCTGTGCTGGCATGTCACAGGAGTGCGCCAAAGCTCTTATCTCAGAACCTCCATAGAAGGTTCCTCCTGGTACTTCCACTCCAGATATGAGACTTGACAGTCCTCCCCTTCCTCATCTACAAAGCACAGGCACCAAGACATCCTTATGGGATACCTGGGAAGAATAGTTTAGGTGACCTATTTCTAAGAGACAGTGGTCTCTTAGAAAATAGACATGCAGGTGGCTGTTCCTGTGATGACCTCAGTGTTGGCACTACTGTCCTGCCATCTTCTTGGCCAGACAATCTTCTAGTGAAGCTCTAGTCTCCCCTACAGTGTCCAAGACTTTCCAGACACTCCACTCCATGGCCTCCCAAGGACACATGCTTTTAGCAGGGCAAACGTCTTTCTTTCATAATTGATGATGAGGCTTGAAAGGACTCTGAGCTCTACTTCTTGGCCTGGTGAAGTGACCTCTGGGTTATGGGATTATTCCTTCATCCCCAGATAACATACTGAGCCTGGCTGATGTGCTGTAATACTTCATTCGGGGTCCTTCTCCTTTAAATCTCTTCAGAGGCTGTTTGCTTTTATCTTACTTCAGTTATGTCTTCCCTTAC